GGCTTGGAACTCACAGAGATCCGCCTGCCTCTGCCTCCCGAGTACTGGGATTAAAGGCGTGCGCTGTTGCTTTTCTTACTTTTTTTTGTTTTCCTTAACTTATTCCTTAGAGACTTGGCTGATTACGTCTGAATGTCATCTGCTGTGTTGGCTTTAGCAGTTTTACCTATTTTTAAAATGAATGTAAAGTGAAAAAACAAAACAACTGTTTGTGAGAATAATGCATATTGTATGTAATTATAATTCATTGAATAGGATTTCATTACGTCAGTGTCTTTTTGTCTTTTATATTCTTGAACATTCGGAGGGGCCTTACAGTTAGAGTCTGTTCCAACTAGCGTGCTACAAACACTGTAGTTTGTCTTGATGAGAACATATGCACTTGTTCTGCATACATGTGTACATAGGGTAGGATTGCTGGAATGTAGGGTGTGCATGCAATCCACTTTAGTGACTAGTAGCAGACAATTTTCTAGAATGATGTGTTAAATCTATATTCATTTGAGTAGATGTAAGGGTTCTTGGTGTTACTAATCTACATCCATACTCTCAGGATATTTTCTCTTTTTTAATTCTTGCCATTCTAGTGGGTTAGTACCTTTTCCTTTTTTACATTAACTTGTATTTCCCCGTTGACTAGTAAGTTGAACACCTTTGGTTTCTATTGGACATTTTGTACTCTCTTTGTCAAGTATCTGTTTAGGAATAATTTATTTTTCTATTGTCTTTTTTTGTTACTGACTTGTCGGATTCTTTAACTAGGTCTTTTAATCACATGCCTGTATTATGAGTATCTTTTACTCTGATGACCTTCAGGGAGTGAAGTTTTTAGTTTAGCACAGTTTAGTTTTTAAAAATGATGTTGTTTTGTGTCTTTTTTAAAGAAACTGTCTCCTGGGCTAGAGAGGTGACTCAGTGGTTAAGAGTATTGGCTCCTCTTGCAGAGGACCCGGGTTTGGGTTCAATCCCAGCACCCACATGGTGGCTAACAGTCGTCCATATCTCCAGTTCTAGGGTCTGATGCCCTCTTCTGACCTCCACAGGCATTGTCCAATATGGGTACACTTACATGCAGACAGTACACTCATACACTTAAAAATAGTAAGTAAAATATATATAAGAAAGAAACTGTTCCCTTACTGTGAAGGTCTTTCCCTATTTTCTTCTAAAAGGTTTTGTTCATTTTTCTTTCATATTTATACCTGTTTCTTGTTAAGTTTAAATTGTGCTTCTTATGTTAGAAATTATATCAGGTTTTGCAGTTTGTCTTGGACTCTGGCAGGGTTTTTTTGTTTGGGGGGGGTTGGTCTTTTTGAGACAGGGTCTCCCTGTAGCCCCAGCTGGCCTGGAACTCCCTATGTAGACCAGGCTAGCCTTGAACTCACAGAGATCCGCCTCCCTCTGTTTCCCAAGTGCTGAAACTACAGGCGTGCACCACCACTCTGGCTTTTAATAGAGCTGATTCAGGATGTGGAATTAATTTTGAAATAGCAGCATTGTAAACATTGTTCTGATTTATGCAGACAGTGTTGACAATTATTAATCACTCAATATTTGCCAGGTATTTTGTGTCTATTAACTTTAGAACATTCCCAACAATCCTCTGAGGTAAGTATTACTATTCCCATTTCACACATGTGAAAACTAGACAAAAGATTTGGAACTTAGCCATGGTCATAGGACTACCTGTTAGAGCCAGACTATTAGACTGACTTCAGTTGTGCTGACCTGACTGTTGTTTGCATACTTTTAGAACCTTTCTTCTTTTTATAGAGCAGGGCTATGCTGTACAGAGAAAGGAAACTTTTTACATTTTTGTGCACCTACTTAGGGATTCAGATTCGACTTTTAGTTTAGTGAGAAGAAAGCTTGCAGTAGCTTTAGTGTCCTGAAGTAGAGGTATTTCCATTCACTGTGTAGAGGGCCCAGGTAAAGAGATGAATTTCAGGTAGAAAAATAGTGATAAGGTTGTCATTAAGACATGTATAACACTATTGTACTTGGAAGTTCCATACCAAATATCGGAGTTCTCATTCCATATCATGCTGCTTGAGAATTTATTCATGTTGATACCAGAATATAAAAACACTGAGTTATATGAATACTAGACAGGCTGATAGTATGAGAATTTATATGATCCACATTCTGTTAGTGTGGGTGTTATAATATATGGATTATATCTGGTTCTAACATATTTGCTGTGTGTGTGTCCATGTGTGCGTACACACATTTGTTGTTTTTGGAGACAGGATTTTATATATCTCAGGTTGACCTCAAACTCGCTATGTAGCTGAAAATGACCTTGAACTTCTGAATCATCCTGCCTCCACCTCCCAAGTGCTAGCCTTTCAGATGTGGGCCAAATATGCCTGGCACTTTAATTGGTCATTTCCCTGTTGCTAAATAGGATAATAAACATTTCTTCTCTCCTTAAAAAAGTTGTAACCAATAATGTGATATTCATAAAATGCATCCAATTTTTTGAGAGTGTGGTTGCAGTAATTTTTATTTATAATTAATAATAAAAGCATAATTAATAATATTAAAAGCCTATCTTTAGCCTAGAAGGAAAATGAATTAGAAACTCATGAATTATAAGGAATGTGTAAAATTTATCTCCCATTTCTTTTTGGCAGCTCTGTATCAGGGTCCTGCCAGGGAACAGAATTTTCTCAGATGGTTCAAATAAAGAAGCCTTAAGAAAGGCAGCATTTGTAACGAACAAAGAGGATCTGGTGAGGCATCTCGGCTGGCCTTTATCATGGCCAGTATTGAAAGAGTCAGGTGGAAGAATTATGGTGAAGGACTTCACGAGAGTCTGAATTGGCAAGGAGAGGCTCCATGGTGGTAGTTTCAGTTTAGGAGAGGGAGTCACTGTAAAAATACAGTGCTGAAGCAAGAAGGGAGCAGAGACTCCACTCAGCTCTAGACCCCGCTTGTGGAACTCAGTGGCCAGACACTACCTGAAGTTAGAAGCAAGGGAACCTGTCTACAGAGAGGAAGTAGCGAATATATTAGGAAGTGGCAAACCAAAGAACCACTTAGAACATCTTCATTCTGTGAGAGTACTTCATAATACTGTGGGAGGAGGATTAGGACATACCCTAGACTAGCAATTCTAAAACATTTCGGTCTTGGGATGACTTCTTACACAGGAGTTTTTGTTTTAACATGGGTTATTTTACCAGTGCTTATTTACTAAATTTGAAATTAGAAATAAAAACTACTTTATTGATATATAGAACCATTTAGCATATTAATATAGCTAATATTAAAAATGAAATTATTTTTCTTGGACAAAACAAAAATAATGAGAAAAGTGACATATTTTTGTAAATTTGTGTTGCCTGGCTAAATTGACCCCTGGATTCTCATTTCTTCTTTATACTCAGCTGTTTGATTGATGTATGAGCAAACTCCAAATTCATATAGAAAACATTGAAAAGGGAGAGTCTTACAGACCCACGGAATAGACTTCAGAGCTCCGGAGAGTTCTCAGACATTGCCTTCTATTAATTTTGCTCAGAGCTCATGCTAGTGTGCTTAGGTATGTGTTAATAGTAGTTGTAGGAGACATGACTTTGTACTGTATTGTATCTGTTCCTGTTAAGAAACCTGTGCTGGGGGCTAGAGAGATGGCTCAGTGGTTAAGAGCACTGACTGCTCTTAGAAGACCCAGGTTTGGTTCCTAGCATCCACATGGCAACTGACAGCTGTCTATAGCTCCAGTTCCAGGAATCTGACCTCTGGACATTGTATAACACGGGTGCACTTATATACATGCAGGCTAATCCACTTATACATATAAAATTAAAAGCAGGAAGGAAAGAAATAAACCTAAGAAATCTGCACTGTTTTCACTTACTGTCTAAGTAAGTGTGGACAGTCATTGCCTTACCACACTGTGAAGACACCCAGCTGTAACATGGACTGACTCAGAGATATGGACATACGCTTCGTGTTACCCTTTCCCTTAGAAGGCCTGATAAATATTTTGCTTTTCCTAAATACACTTTTAGTTATATGATAGAAATTTGTGTGTTTGATGATTTTTCTGGAAAAAAGAAGTTAATAAAAAAGTAATTGGGAAGCCTGGGGAATGTTACTCGGTGGTTGAGAGCTTGCTTACTATATTCAAGGCCCCAGCATCCATGCCTAGAACAGCCAGCAAACAAAAATCACTGGAGAAAAAAATGCATTTTTTACTACCTTAGGGAAAGTGATTTCAAAAGACCCAAATCATGCCAAAACAGAATTCTTTTAAAAAATATTTTTATTTTATGTGTATGAGCGTCTTGCCTGCATGTGTGTAAGAGCACCCGTGTTATGAAGAGGTCAGAAGAGGGCATCAGATCCCCTGGAACTGGAATTACTGATGGTTGTTAGTGACCATGTGGGTGCTGGAAACTGAACCGAAGTCCTCTGCAAGAGCAGCCAGTGCTCTTAACCTCTGAGCCATCTCTCCAGCCTCCAAAACAGAATTCTTACAAGGCTAAATCCTTTTTAAAAATCAAAACAATAACTCTTTCTTTTATTACCTCTTTTTCCCATTGGTAATGATTTCTTGATGAACTGTCACTTTGTTTTAATCCAATATTTAAGCTTTTGTTGGCACTTTGATGTTGAGAATTTGATCTCTTGATAGACTATATTTTCAGAGCATAAAAAATAATCAGATGAGCCACAGGCAATGTTCATAAAATTATCATACATATATTTTGTTGTACATATTTACATATAAACATACAAACTACTGTCTCTTCTAGTGTTTTAATTGTATCAAATTATAGACATCCCCACATATCACAGTATTTGAAGTTATTGGCATGGTGGATTCTTCTGTGTAGTGCTTATTATTGATGACATGCAGAAACTGTCACAAAAATAAATCAGTTTTATATGGAGTTAGTTTCTAATTAAGACAAATTTGTTGTTTAAATGTTATAGCTTTTTTTCTTTCCCAAAGAAGACTAATGAAATACTTTTCTTCTTCCCCAAAGGAGCTACTGCTCTCTGGCATGCCAGAAATTGATGTGAATGATTGGATGAAAAACACAGAATACACGAGTGGCTATGAAAGAGAGGATCCAGTTATTCAGGTAAAATCTTCTCTTGAGCTTAGAATGAAGTTAAGTTTGCCATTTAACTTTGTAAGCTTTTCAGCCCTATTGGATGAAAATCTACATTAATTAACAAAGTCAAGTTTTCCCATAAATTCTTCTTGGGGGAATATTGCATATGAAACCCTTTTATGAGATAATTTTTGACAAATGAGTTTTGTAGAATAAAATATGCTGTATGAATATTGCGTATTTCTCTGATACTAATAAGTCTACATTTGCTCTGAAATGTGAGCTGAATTTTTATTGTTGTTCTTGGTAGTGGTTCTGGGAAGTTGTGGAAGACATTACTCAAGAGGAGAGAGTTCTTCTCTTGCAGTTTGTTACTGGCAGGTAAGAAGTGCTTTTATGATAACATTGAAAGAATTTATTGTATTTCATTTCTAATGGCTAGGAAAATAACCACAGAGAAAAATAACCAAATTGAAGTTATTACTCTGAAATATTGTCTTTACCTCTTTTTTTCCTATTTTAAGTCTTAAAGGCTAACAACCGTCAGTAACTCCAGTTCCAGTGAAATCTAATGTCCTCTTCTGACTCTGTAGGCGTTGCATGACACAGGTGCACTCACACGCATGCAAGCAATACACTTATACACATAAAATAAAAATAATAAATGATAAAAAGGAATAAATATTCTTGTTGGTGGCTCATGCCTTTAATCCCAGCATCGGATTTCCCTGGAAGGCAGAGACAGGTGGATCTCTGTGAGTTCCAGGCCAGCCTGGTCCACGTAGTGAGACACTGTCTGACAACAAAAACAACACAATTAATTAACTAAGTAACTAACCAACTAAATAATTAAATAAAATACAATGAGTTTAGTAGTGCTTTCAAAGAACTGCAGCCTACTGGAATATTCAAACAATGAAAAACATAATTTGATATTCAGATCTCCCAGTAAGGATATTCAGATCTCCTCATGGATGCTCCCCATTTTAGGACTTACTTTGTATTGAAAATGTGTTATACTTTGATTTTGATTGTTAGTACCAATCTTTTGAATGCTCTCTCAAAGTATTGGCGTTCATTTTTGCCAGTTTATCATTTTTCTGTTGACTCCCAAGTTAACATAGTTTTACAAACAATTAAAGTTTATTACATGAAAGTCTTAATTACTGTATTGTCAAGTTATCAGTATTCTATATTTGTATAAGTACTCTATATTTTAGTCTACATTCTTTGTAAATTTTTAAAATGTGTGTATGTGTAATGTGTGTGTTCTGTGTGTGCACTTATGTGTGGGTGTACAGTCTCATGTGTGGTGGCTAGAAGTCAATATCAAGTATTTTCCTCTATCACTCTTCATCTTATTTTTTGACACAGTCTCTGACTGAGCCCAGAAGACAATTGCCTGGTCACTGAGCTTTGAGGGTCCAATCACCTGTCTCCATTCCCCCCAGTGCTAGGGTTATAGACATGTGCCACCATGCCTGTCTTTTAATGTGGGGGCTGGGGATCCAAACTCAGATTCTTAGGCTTGGGTGGCAGGCACTTTACCAACTGAGCCATCTCCCCACCCCATTTGCATTTTTTTGGTTAACTTTTTTTTACTTGTTTAAAAAATTACTTGTTTTTACATTCCAGTTTTTAGGCCATCTGTATTTGATTGTGCTTTAGGTTGAGAGATGGAACTCCTTTTATCCTCAAATGTTTTTTGCCTCAATACCACTGAATGAATTAGCATATTTTCCTTTTGATTTGATTTATATAAATCCTTATGTTAGAGGAAACAATCAAGTTCTATTACCTTAAAATGACTTAAATTGCTACTTTAAAGAGTTAAAAAAAAGTTTAGTAACATTCAGTGTCCTTCTCAGTTAAGTAGCAGTAGTAAAAACTGAACTGTTCAGAACTTGATTCTAAAATGTAGAGAATCCCATTTGAGCTGAGGTGATGGATGTGGCTGAAGAGAAGAAGCCAGTGACGCTGAGGGAAAACACATGTTGAGTTCCACCGTAAAGGCAGTCTGTGTTTCATCACTTAGTCTAAGTTGAGTCCTATGCTTAGAGTTCCAACTGAGGAAGCCTATGTTCATCTAAACCTTAACTTGCCGTTTACATTAGATCACTAGTCATTAGTGTAAGTGGAGTATTTTCCATTTTAAACTAAAAGTGTGCTTTTTTTTCTCTTAGACTTAACAGAAAATTCTGATTGTTTATGTTTAGATATTGAAATAGCTTTCTCTAAGATCAGAGTATAATTTGGTACAGCTTTATTAAAACAAATCAAAACAAAATGTGTCCCAATTGTAAATCAAGCTCATGTAAAAAGTAATTTGAAAAGAATTTTTTTTTTGGTCTTTTTGGAGACAAGGTCTCCCTGTAACCCCAGCTGTCCTGGAACCTACTTATGTAGACCAAGCTGGCCTTGATCTCACAGAGATGTACCTGCCTCTGCCTCTGCCTCTGCCTCTGTCTCCTGAGTGTTGGGATTAAGGCATGTGCCACCTTGCCCAGCTTAGAATGTTTTTAATGATGGTGTTTCTTTGGTCTATAAGACTGTCTTAAATGTCTTACTATTTAGTGTTTCATACTTTAGGATAATTAAAATCAAATTTGATGATTTCTTTATGCATAAAATCAGCTGATTATAAAAATATGAGCCCCAACTGTATTTGTTCATGGTATAAAGAAAAGGAATAGGATTTCAGGGTCAGTTCATGAAATTCAGCTTAAAGAGTAATTTCGGTGTAGATGTTAAAATTGGGAGATCTGATATTTGTTCATTTATTTTTACTGTAGACTGGACTCAGGGACTTGTGTGGCTTGGCAAGCATACTAATACGAGATACATCTTTATCCTGCTGTTTTTTCTTAAACTTGTCTTTCAAAATTTATTTATGTAAAAACATTAGATTGCTCACACTGACATTGAAGTACTGTGCTGGAATTTGTATTAAGATTCAGTGCTGGCAGTTTCCCATTTTGTCTTGATAAAGAAATAGTCTTGAATTTTGCCTCTAAACTACTCAGAGCTGCTTAACTTTTTATTCCTAGTGATGTTGTTAATTTTTAGGTAAAAATTAAAATGTAGGTAGACTAATTAGTATTGGGTTTTATTTTATCTTACAAACACTTGTATCCCTGTCTTTTATAGCCATTCTGGTGCCCCCAGTAGGAATGCTTATACGTTTATGGTTTACTAGCAAGATTTAGAAATTTCTTTCTTTATTTGAGTGGGGAGTGAACCTAGGGCCTCGTGTATGCTAGGCAATGCTTTATCACAGAGCTACCTCCCCAGTCCTCTCATTACTTTTTATTTTGAGACAGAGTCTCACACAGTTGTCCCAGCCTTAACCTCCAGAGTAGCTGGGATTACGGGCCTGCACCACCAAATTTAGCCTAGGAATTCTTTCATTTCAATGACCAAGGAAGGTCAGCAATAAAGCATTAAATAGTAATCAAGCTGCTTTCCAGCTAGAAAAGAAAACTGTTGATTTTAGAGAATTTTTAGTATTACTAAGCTTTTATCTTTCCCTATGACAGATTTCAAATAGGCCATCCTGATGGACTTCTTTTTGGTCTTTTTGAAACTCGGTCTCTCTGTAGCCCAAGCTAGCCTGGAACTCGCTATGTAGACCAGGCTAGGCTTAATCCCACAGATCTCTACCTCCTGAGTGCTGGGATTAAAGGTGTGTTCCAGCATACCCTGCTTTGATGGATATTTTTAAGAGTTTGTATGTGTGTGGTAAAAAATGTATAGTATAAGATATACTCTTTTAACAATTTTTAGGCGTATACTTTTTGTACATTGAACTATCACTACCATCCATCTTCTGAAATTTTTTATGGTCCTCAACTGACACTCTTCCTGTTAACACTAATTCCCCGTTTCCACCCCCCTGGTCCCTGGCAGCCATTATTTTACTTCATGATTCTATTACTTTTGACTTCTGGGGATCTCATAGAAGTGGAATCAGCACTATTTGTCTTTTTGTAGCTGGTCTATTTCAGTTAGCTTATCTTCAAGGCTCATCCATGTTGTAGAATGTGTCAAAATTTTTCCAATGCTCCATATATTTGTCTCCTTATTTGTCTGTGGATGCCAATATTGTGTCTGCATTTTGGCTATGGTAAAGAAAATGTAAAGAACATGGATATACAAAAATTTCATTGAGTCTGTGTCTTTAGTTCTTTTGGATATAAACTTAAAAACAGAATTACAGTATCGTATTATAAACTTCTTTTTTTTGAGATAGGATCACATAACCAAGGGTGGTGACCTTGAACTCCTGATCTTTCTTCCTCCAGCTCCTGAGTGCTACCACCATGACCAGTTTTGTGTGATTCTAGGATCCAACACAGAGCTTTATGTTTGTTAGGCAAACACTCTACCAACTGAGCCACATCCCCAGCCCTCCAATTCTGTTTCTAATTTTGAGGAACTGTCATACTGTTTCTTACAGGGACTGTACCATTTTCTATTCTCATCAGCAAGTTTTCCACATTTTTTCTAGTACTTGTTTTTTTTTTAATGTAAATAATCATCTTAATAAGTATGAATTTATTTTTTTAAATTGCAGTTTGGATTTGCATTTCCCTAAAGATTTGCTGTGCTGAACTTCTTTCCTGTTCTTTCTGGCCATGTGTGTATCTTTGCAGGAACATCTGTTCCACTCCTTTGCTCATATTAAGCAGGCTGCTTTTTGCTGTTAGGAGTTCTTTATGTATTATAGGTATTAGTCTTTTCCTGTTCTTTAAAACATTAAAGACTGTTCTTACATGTGTGTGTGTGTGTGTGTGTGTATGTGTGTATACATGCGCATGTATGTGTCACTTCATGGGTGTGGAGGTGAGAGGACAGCTTGTAGGAGTTGGTTCTCTCCATGTGGATCCTAGGGATTGAACTCAGATCATCTGGGTTGACAGCAAGTGCCTATATGGACTGAACCATCTTGCCAGCCCCCTTTCCTGTTCTTAATCCCAGTAGATGTTCCTCTGCATTTTCACAGTCCTAGTTATAAAGATGTTTATGTGTTTGATCCATGTATTAGTTTTTGCTGTTGTTGTGATGAACTACAACTTATAGACGAAGGCAGTTTATAGAAGGAGGAGTTTATTTGGACTTACGGTTCCAGAGGGATAGCGGTTCATCCTGGCAAACAGCAGGTGGTAGGCATGGCAGAACCAAAAGCTGAGAGATCACATCCTCAGTCCCAAACATGAAGGAGAGATAGCACACTGGAAAAAGACAAGACTGACTTCTCAAAACCCACACCCAGTGACATGCTTCCTTCAGTGAAGCCGCATCATCTAATGATTCTTTGACCTCCCTAAACAGTGCCACCAAATGGGGACCAAGTGTTCAAATTCTTAAGCCTATGTGAGACGTTGTTTTTTCTCTTTCCTTTTTAAAAAACATTTCTCAGTCAAACCACCACAGTTTATTTTGACCCAGTCTTTGTATGTGGTATAAAAAGATGAGGGTCCAACTTTATTTTTCTGTATCAAATACAATTTGTTGAGTAGGCACTTTTCCCATTATATGTTTCTTTTTAGGGGATGGGTGAATTGAAACAGGTTCTCATGGAGTCCAAGTTGACCTTGAACTCCCTATGTAGCTGAGGATGACTTTGAATTTACCAATTCTACTGCCTCTACCTCCAGAGTACTAGGATTGCAGACGTGCAGCTAGTGCAGTGCTCAAGCTCAAATTCAGGGCTTTATGCGTGCCAGGCAAGCACCCTGCCGGCTGAGCTACATCTCCAGAACCTGATCAAATGTTCTTGGCATTCTTGTCAAAAATCACTAGATGATGTTTAGAGGGGCATATTTCTGGCTTTTTTAAAATACGGATTTCTATGTCTGTCTTTATATCAGTATAACACTGCTTTCATGTCTATGCTTCTGTAATAAGTTTAAAATCAAACTGTGCGAGCCTTCACTATTCCCCCCAAGATTGTTTTAGCTATTCCCAATCAACGTTTTTAAAAATTGAGCTGAATTATGCTTGTATATACAGTATAGCAAAGCCTGACCTTGAGCTTGTCTTCTTGAACAGTTGGGACTACAAGAACACACCACCACACCCAGCCATTCTTTGGGTTATGATTTATATGTTGGAAACCCTTTTCAGCCAAGTCATGCTACATTTGACCCAGCCTAGATGTCCATAAAAAAATAAAGAAAATGTACATATACACAATGAAATTTTATTTAACTATAAAGAAGAATGAAATTAGGCCAGATGTAGAAACATCACATGCTTTCTTTCATATGGAGGGTCTAGATTTAAATTTTTATAGATATGTTTGTGTATTTAGACCACAAAAGTAGGAAGAGGACTATGGGAAAGGGAGAGGGTAACAGAATATATATGTGATGGGAAGGTAGAAGGAGGGGCTATTTGGGTAAATGAACAAAACAGCAAGAGGTGGCACAGAATGAAGGTAGTGGGGCGGGTGAATAAGGAGCAAACGTGTCTGGACATGTAATGATACCCACTATTTTTACTATAACTGAATACTAATTTTAAAATGGAAAAGGAATACATTTAGTATTTAGAAACAGGATATTTGCCATTCTAATTTATCCCAGAAGCCCTACAGCATGCCATGTAATGGACTCATTTTTTGTTGTTACTATTTTTTGTGGTGCTAGCATTCAGACTCAGGGTCCTGTGTCTACCGAGCAAGTGCTCTTCATTTGTGCTGCATCCCCAGCCTACAGCAACACATTTTTTCCCCATCATCAGTTTGTTTAGTCATGGCACATACACAGATTAATTTGAAATATTAGCTTACTTTCAAATGCACAGAACTTGAAAAATTATAAATTGCATTTTCTTTTTTATTATTCTTATTTTATGTGCGTGAGTGTGTTGCCTGCATGTATGTAAGTGCACCCGTGTCGTGCAATGCCTGTGAAGGTCAGAAGAGACTGTCAAATTCCCTGGAATTGGAATTACAAAAAGCTGTTAGCTGCTATGTGGATGCTGGGATTCAAACCCAGGTGTTCTGCAAGAGCAGCCAGTGCTCGTAACCACTGAGCCATCTCTCCAGCCCTATAATTACATTTTCTATAGCTGTGTACACCAAGATTAAAATTTATATTGATTCATTGTCCATTAAACTTTAGCCTTCCTATGGTCTTAAATTTTTTAGATGGTAGTTAAAGACTATGTTTGAGGACTTGGGAGATGGGTCAGTGTGTAAACTGAGTTCAGAATCTCAGTACCCACATAAAAGCTGGGTGTGGTGCCACATGCCTGTAACTCAGGCATTAGTGGGTAAAGACAGACAGATTCAGGGAACTTGCTGGCCAGCCAGTCTAGCCAAATTGGTGAACTTGATGTTCAGTGAGAGACCCTGTCTCAAAACCTAAGGCTGAAAGCAATAGAGAAAAACATCCAAAATAAATCTCTGGCTTCCACACATGCCTGACCACCCCCCCCCCATCTCTCATCACTGTCTCTCCTATATAACTGATATTCTGAGTACCTGGAAACTGGAAAGATAAATGTCAAATTTTTTTTTAATTTTCCCAACGTGACAAACAAAATAGAATGAAAAACACTTTGTGTCCTTTTTTTTCCACAAAGAAGGAAACCATTGAACATGTAGAAGCCTTTGTTTCTTAAGTCAACCAAACACCAATGTTTTAGTTTCTTTGTTGTTGCTGTGATGAAATACCCAGACAGAAAGCAACTTAAGGGATAAAGTGGAGAAAGGGTTTATTTTGGCATACAGTACTATGAGAGGATTCAGTCCATCGTGGTGGGGAAAACGTGGCAGCCCACAGGGAAGGCATTGGGGTAGGAACAGGAAGCAGAGAACAGGACCTGGGGCCAGGCTATACAACCTCAAGTCCAGTCCCCAGTGTAATATTTCCTCTTGCGAGGTTCTACAACCTTCACTCGGGGACCATGTGTTTAAACATATGAGCCTGTGGGGGACATTTCAAGTTTAAGACACAGGAGTCCATTTATTCAGTAAACATTTAACAACTACCAGGCATCTTTGCTAACTCCAAGGATACAAATGTAAATGGGACATGTTTGAGAGTCCTAGTTTATTAGGGAGTTACATGAAAGCAATCATTGTAAGTGCATGCATGCCATGACCAGTTCAAAGTATGGTTTAACTGGTGGAAACACAGTGAGATACTTCATGGAAGTTTGCTAGCTGGCCACAAGGCAACATACAAAAATGAGTTGGGAGTTTGGGACTTGAAAATGTCAATGTTTTAGATTTGAATATATTCTTACCCTAACTTAGAATTTGAAGCATATCTGGCAGGTGAAGATTTCCCTTTTTATGATCACAACTAACAGTACAAACTCTTAGTTCCAGGGTCCCACATGGTGGATTTGCCAACATCATGGGTGGAAGTGGTTTGCAAAACTTTACAATTGCTGCTGTGCCATATACCCCAAATCTTTTACCAACTTCTAGCACATGGTAAGTTACTAATTTATTTAAATGAATTGTTACTTATTTTTATTAATTTTAAATGATCTAAGATAATTGCTGTGTTTCTATAATGGAAGAAAAATTTCCCCCATAATCTCTCTTCAGAATTTTGGAATTACAAATAAGTGGTTACATGGTTTTTGCTCCTCTTCTTTTGGTAGGGAAATTTTGGAGGAAGCCCTAACTATCTAAAATTGAATTGAATGTGGTTCGAGTATCACTGAAGTTAAAATGTCAGTTACATCATCACTTCACATGTGTTGCCCTATTACTTATTTTAAACTGAAACTTTTTTTTCATGCTGAGAGAATCTGCACTGCAGCCTTTTTTTTTTTTTCTTCCTTTTAAAACTACTTCAGGGTTTCCAATTTGAATGCAAATTTGAAAGATCGGTTTTATGTTAATTATGAACAGTGTTTTCACTGCTAGATAAAACAATCAGCCGTTTGAGAGATTTTCTGTTTAATGGTGGTCTATTTTTCTCTTAAAGCATAAACATGCTCAAGTTACCTGAGTACCCATGTAAAGAAATACTCAAGGACAGACTCCTTGTGGCACTGCATTGTGGCAGCTATGGTTACACAATGGCATAATGAAGCCTGGAAAACTCATCTGACTACTGATGCACAATTCAGAGACAGAAGTAATTTAGGGGACTGTCAGCAGAAAAGCAGTTAAACACAGCCCAAATTCATAAACGGTCAGGTTTTCTATTTTACTGTTTCTCTTGTTTGGTTTTTCTCTATGATGCAATTAGAAAATATAAAATCATAGTAGACTTCATTTTGAAAAATGCAAGTAGTAAAACTGTCTTATATATATATATATTTCTTTAATCTTCCAAGATTGTGTTAAGGCAAAATATTCTACATTCCACCTCTGCTGTGAAACTGTCTAGTTGAAAGGGTATTTTTTTTGTTGTTTATCTTCTTGTATATTAAAGTGTGTGAAGACAACCAGCTGGTGTGTTCTATTGCATGTAAAGTACATTTTTTATTTTGGAAAATTATTGATAAAATGGT